ACAATCACTTGTCACTGAAGAGGAATAAGCAGCATAGATGCAGAAGTGTGACAATCACGACATCAGGCATTGGCGCTTCAAGGTGCTTTGATAAGCAGCAAAGACAGGACGCACCCACTCTCACTGCCAGTGTCCACTACATGAGGCATCCAGCAGAGTCAAACAATGCACTAATCATGAAGGCCGGTCAAATCTGCTGGTGGTCATAGAGTAGGTAGCTTCAGTCTTCCAATTGCTTTTCCCCACACCACTTCCACTCCCAGTGCCCACTAGTTCGACTTGCTGCATCGCGTGGACAATTTTATCTCACCAAACCATATGTCATTAACACACAAAACACCCTGTATTGCACTATACTGCAAGTGTTCAAATCATCACAGTCTGCGCCCCTCACTCCCCCAACAGCATAGGCAACATGATGGAATGGGGTAAGTGAAGGCGACTCGAGGATTGGCCTGCTGTTTTCGTGTGAGCAGAGTGGCATGGCGACGATGCACCACCTGGAACCAGGTCTGGTGCATGCTGAAGCAAATCGTGCAATTGGAAATGGGTCTGATAGCTGGACATGTCCTGCTCCCACCATAACACACAGTTTCATCTCAACACTGTTTGCATTTCACCACGTCTTTCACTTCCACATTGACAAATGCACCAGCAGGAGGCATCCACTTGCCTCAACGTCTCAACGTCAACCTACTCTGCCCTCGCACCTACGACAATCAACTGTCCTGATTGTCTCAGTCAGTATTGGAAACAGTGGATGGAGGAATGGGGTTGTGGGACGCCCAATGAGTCAGGCTGCACTGTGTGGCTATAGCAACAACAAGCACTCCTTCTCTGCCCCCGCACCGTGGGATGTGCGGTGCCTATTGCTCCCAAGTCTTGCCAGATAATTCAACACTTCATCAGTCACACACACTTGGGATTGCATTGCAGGCGTCTTCCGCATCCTCCCCAATCGCCCACACCTCACGTCCAACGTCGGGAGGTAATGTGGACCAACTGAAGACAGGCATCACCAACTACGATAACTTTCCTATTTTGTAGCCAGTTAAGAAGATCGTGATGTCGCATGCCTTGCAATGCACCTCACACAATCACTGTGATAACATGACCATAGCCAAAGGCGATAGATGGGTGTGGGGGTGTGCATTGGGCTTTGAGGGTAGAGTTGTGCACCCTTCTTTTCACCCAACACTCGCACCGGGCCAAGGCGTGTGGTGGTGGACTCCACTCCTCCACCGCATTGTCCCTCTCTCATTCGAGTGTATCTTGGTGGCGTTTTGTTGATGTGATGCAGAAAAGTGGGGCGTAGCATCGTAGTAAGTGAAAGACGTGAGTCGCACAGCGAGCCATACTAGCAGAGTAGTGATGCCTTGAGGCAGCCCAACACCCCACCTGACTTTTGTTTGCGCTATCTCCCACAAACCAATAACATGCGCACTACAACTACTACCCACAGTGAACATAGAGTGGGTGCATAGGCAGCGTCTGCACGATTGCGCATGTTAAATCACAAGCCATAAGTAGTGGATCATCTCCACTATTCTGCCCTTTCCTTACACGTTGCATCTGCAGAGGAGAACCACCCTGTATATATGCGTTTGCTCATTTGTGCACCACGCAAGCATGTACATTTGGTCAGTCATTTTACAACACACACGCACACACACTTCCCTAATGTCTCACACATGCGAAGCACCACATGCTTCTTTACAAGTTGATACGAAAGTATGGCGTGACAGATACTAACCACCAAGCGTCATTCGATTCGGACCCTCCTACGGATGCAAACTGGGTCTTTCGCATTCCCTTCCTCCTCACCCATCACTGTCCTCCCAGCCATTCTACTTCCTGCATGATTGCGTCAGCAGTGTGTAACACGCGAACTATCTACAAAGACATCAGTGCAGCGTCCACCAAGTCCACTGCATCCCAATCCTAACACGCCACACACGTCGACTTAAGAACCATCACATTCCACGATGTTGGATCGCCTACTCGAGTGGCATTGTGAGGCTCACCCACAGCAACGAAGGACCCCTGACAGTACAGCAATGTGAATACAGGCACTGGATGCTAGTTGGGCGTTTGGGTGAAGCTGAGGAATATTGTGCATGTGTGACCATCTGTATGACCGGTTTGCACCTTGGCGTTCATCTTGCTCTTGTGCGCGCAAGCTGGCATTCGGACCAAACCAAAGCCCTACCTCGTCCCATCTTTTCCTCAACGTGCCTCTTTTCAGCCCTAATTAATACCTTCTTCCACCCAGTGGTGGAGGTCTCAGAACACTACCGTACTAGTAGTTATTCCATCAAATGGAGCTGTATTATTCTGGAGATTTGTGTCCCTCCTGTCGATGTCCAGGACACACCATTGCCACATCTGCTTTCAACTGGTATTTAGGCGTTCCTCTTCACTCCTGCAACCCGAGAGGCCGTCTAGAGTGGCAACATCGATTTCGGGAAGCTCTTGCTTTGGCAAAGACATCGAGCTCCACTACGTTGACCATGTTTGCATCTTTATGCTGATCGAATTAGCAATTTCGTAACATGATGAAAACCATGAAGAATTAAGTTGCCACTCTGACACCTTCATTTTGCGATGATGTATGCCAAACGAAGTGTGGAGATAGATCATTTATATAATTATTGTGTGTTTGTTATAATTGTTCAATATGAGTAATTAGGTTAGCCTAAGTGTAATTAGAACTCTTTTCAACTGTCTATCTGTCATCAATACGTAGTGCAAGGTCATCACTTTTATGTTGAATTCTATTAATGTAAACGCATAAAGCAAGGAACCTTTTTTCTGGACATTTAGGTGCAAAATATGTGCATATTGGTTCTAGAACTAGGTATAAGTAGGGTTTTTCGAAAGCGTTTAACTTTCATGATTTTAGCAGAACTAACTGGAATATGCAGTTTGTGGCAGCAATTGAACTAAATAATAAAGCACTATAGTTGTTTGGTGTACGATTACTGATGTCTTTTTATCTAATTATTTTTTCTTACGTGCTCTGTATTTGAAACCACTAATTATTATCATCTACAATGTTCCCACACATATACTCTGAGACAATGATTTACTTAGATAACTCAATATCTAAAGTAATTTCTTTTTAGATTACACATGACTGTTTCGATACCAGTTGAATTTGGAAAATATCTGTTTGGGAGTTATAATGGTGAGCTTAAACCGCTTTTCAATTTAAAACCAAACTTTTTTAAAGCCAATAACAATGAAGCATTGGATGGCCATACAAATATCAAAACTCCTGATTCGAAATTTCTTCTCAATACAGCAAGCAATTTTGATGATAAGGTAAGCAACCTGTTACTAATCTAAAGTAATTATTTTCAACAATGTTCTTCAAGTTTATTAAAATGCGTACTCATTTGAGAACATTAATAATGTCCGCGAGAAATGAATTTATAGTCTAATGTGAAAAAATTCACTGGTGGTCAGTACAATGGTATTTGCATTTTACAACCTCTTCCATACGGCTTTATTGGAACATTTCGAGAAGGTCTTCGTCAAGGTTTCGGCATCGCTCTCTATCCAGAAGACAATTTATTTATGGTAAAATAGCTTAGCAGTGAACCATAATTAACTTTTAGGGATTCTACGAAAATGACAAATATTGTGGCTTGGGCATCGCACTTCACAATGGCAACAAAATTGACATAGGTTTTTGGCAAGACAATAGCCTAAATAAAGCATATACGTTTGTTTTCGACAAATTAGGACTCCACAAATCGCCTATATTTGCACGTTACTATGGTAAATTAGCCGAAGAGACATTTAGCATTTCGGGAGGCAAAAAACTATTGAATCTTGTGGCTGGTGAAGAGGTCTGTTTTAGATTCGCTTTTATAGACCTTTATAGTTACCTCCTGCCCATAGTGCTGACTTTGCAACAGAACTAGACGACCTTCCTTGGTTTTCATCCATTCATGAAGAAGGTGATCGGATTAGTCATGAAATTAAGGTTGAGTCTGATATGTGAGTTATAAGTCAATTTGTCTTCCAAAAATAGTCCAACCTTACTTAAAAGAGCTTTTCTATTAGCTTTTCAGGTTTCAAGATACCTGCATCTACATTATTGTGTCTTGTTTCCTGTGTAAAAGTCCTGTCCGAAACCCCCTTCTCTGTTGCATACCTTGCGAAGATTTTAGCCAATGAGGTGAAATCGAATGGACCAATTACTAGATCGGTGGAAAGGCTATACTGCGCTGCCGAGGTTAACGATCTCGATAGTGTCAGAGACATCCTCACCAACACGGTCGACTTTTCGTCTAGACTTTTGATTAATGAGCCAAACCCTCTTCGATTTGACGTCAATGTTAGCGACTGCTATGGTATTACACCACTGCATGTGGCTTCTGTAAGTTGAAAGTTAGGGCTGTTGCATTAGTTGCTTCTGAGTAAAAGCAGTCCCAAAGTTCTGAATAACACTTTGACGTAATGTAAGACAAAAGCGTAATCAATCGTCTCTGCAAACACCTAACTTCTGTTTAGGCAAATGAGAACGTCGAGGTGGTGGAATTCCTACTATCCTATGGAGCGGACCCTAACGCTATGACAGTAAACGGAATGAGTGCCATTACAATTTGCACTCTGTCTCACCTGGAGAAGCGCTTTGCGAAACACAAGGAGGATTGGCATTTAGTGGAGCTTGATGTTGGTCAAGAGCCCTTTGGTACCTGGAGTAGAGCAGAACTCGTCTGGCTGTTGAGCTGTGACGCAAACCAATCTCTTGCACCTCATGATAACGAAGACATTCACAAGATCTGCAATTTGGATGGCGGTAAAATTTGTCTTGCATTTGTTAGTCTGCTAGCTGTTGATGTAATTTCCCTCTTCAAAGGGATTTTGACTGAGATTGAAGGCCGTCTATTGAAAACTTAGGAGTAGAAAGAATTTCTTTCGCTTTCTAGAGGACTACATTGAGGCGTATGTTCCCCAACTCGCTCAAACAGACCTGTAAGCTGGTTTGCGAGCTTTCATTGCTTTAGTCACAGCCGTAAGGGCTTGGAACACGATCAGAGTTCTTCGAAATTTGGCAAATATATGACGTGCAAACAGGTAAGCCGATAAATTAAGGTCCAGATCCTTCGTTTGTCTGCGATGGTAGAAAAATCATAGCGTCTTTAGCGTATGTGACACAAAACCTGAGAAACTAATTTCACTCATCGCCAGTCACCCCTAACTAAATAAGTATGTCAACTTCTTGTTGAGCCCGCAGCGCTTCCAACAAGACTTATTACAAGTTTTTTTTGGCTTTTTTGCAAAACGAGCGTTAAATAATATCTTGACCTTAAGGAAGTCGCACTTTGATGTTGAAATCAAATTGACGGCGACCCAAGACACTTCATACTTCGATAATTTGCCACCCAACGGAGCTTTTATGCAAGAGGAATTTGCTAAAAATTGAGGCTATCATCAGCTAACTTCTTTCAGTCCCTTCTCATAGTCGTTTGAACATCTATTCCGGGGCATTTGGTGAGCAAAATTTAATACTTCATAGCTAGAATAGCGTGCAACTGACTAGACGGTGTCATTTTGCATACCCACCGGTCTACTCTAGTCGGAACGACAACAATATTCTATTCCTTGCCTGCTACTCTTTTTATTTGGTAGAAATGAAGTATCATGGTCAATGGGTTGTGTGTTTGACCATCACCCTCCCTTCGGTACCCACTCCCATGGAGGAGATGCGCATATACACTACCACATCTAATGCCATTTCGATGCTTTCTATGATTACCCATTTCCCTTTTCCAGTCACATATCCTCAATGTCTATTCTAAAGCGTAAAAAGCACCCTATCCGGAAAGCTGATCGCGACCTATGTGACAGGCTTACTCCCCTAAACTCCAACGAAAGGGTAGCAGCATAGTTCACCACCACCCACTGCATTCTTAAACAGATCCGTCGGGATTGACTAGCACTAATTTCCCGCAAAGAAGCCGGTTATTTGCGATAAAATGTTAGACGCGCTTCGAGCTTTGTTATCATCGTACATCAGGCGTCACTTCTAGACACGAATAAAATATTTGTATGGCAAAGGATTCTAAAACAACTAACAAGGTTACAGTTCATTTTCACACTACTCACACTTAAATGGATCAGTCCGCTGCTCACAGATTGGCTTTTATTGGCAAGAAACTTCAGACGTTGGGCACAAGTAAATTAAGTCGATTAAGCTTTGAGAGTCGAGACGGCAATATTTACAAAAGTGGTCATGAATATGGGTGTTGCTTTTTGGTGGGAAGGAAGGAGGATTGCTTACTTGGATAAAAAGTGAAGGCATCGCAAATGCATGCTTCGAAGTGTTCTCGCATAAGCAGTGAAGATTATCCTTTTTACAATATAAATGAATTTAGTGCTTGAGAGGTGAAATACTTTTAGTGACTTTCGTGCACATTTTAAACTTTCGGACTCACTTGTTTCTCCTAGTATTTTGAAGCACTCACGTGGGGCACATTTAAGCTGCATTCGTCAGGAGGGTCAGTGAGCTGCAAATTCAAGCGACCCCGTGCAATCACCACCTCAACAGAGGCAACTCAAGTAAGGCAGAAGGACCTTCAAGGAATGCAAAAGCGTATCCGGTAATGCGTTTGAACCTATTCAATTAGCCACTTCCCTTAATCGTACCTTGCCTTAAAGGGGAATGAGCTTCCCACCTGTTCAGTGCTACGCCACTCTCAATACACTTTTTCGCGTTTAGAGGACAAATTGGGTGGCAAAGTAGAGGAAGCAGTAGTTTTTTATTCACTTTAAGTTCAACTGACTGGTCCGTACTGTTTTGGTGGCAGACTTCGGATTGCAGAATGCTTAGCTTTAACTTTCTATGTGGGTGTCGCAGACACGATTTACACAGAAGTGCTTTGTGTAAACCTTAGATTTCCAGCTAGTCTCAAGACAATATTGCTGCTTCTGCAGCACGGTGCGAATCCAAACAACGTCACGCAGCCTCTGCCTCCACTAACTGCTGCCGTCAGAGCTGGAGATGTGGAGTTGTCGCGTCTTCTGCTGCATTTTGGTGCAGATCCAAACAATCACGTTCTACGGCAACTTGTTACTACGTCCAAGGTGGGTAATTCTGTCACTACACTGCCATCCAGCCCCCAATATTGTAAAAATTGCATGGGATGGAGTCGTATTAATTACAAATGATAAGTGGCATAAAAAATGGCTAGAATCGACATTTTGGAGCCCAAATAGCAACTAAAACATTTGTTGAAGAATGTGAAAATTGTGAGTTACCAGATGAATCACGAGTCACTGGCAATACTACTCTGTGTGTAAGCAAAGAAATTTTCAGCCGTGGTTCGGTTAAAATGAGAACGACTTTGTGATTTTCTACTCTTGTCACGCCATTCAGGCACAACAACAACAACACCATTCAATAATGCTGCAGAGTACAGAAAGGCAATAACTGAAAGCTGTTACTCTTCGTTCGCACTGAAATTTTAATAATTGAGATTGATGACTTTAAAAGACGGACTATATATCCACATCTGTGGTCAGGTGAAATCACTCGCTATGTTAATGTTAAACAATTGCCTTTAATCTGATTCGCATAGGATTCCCAACAAACTCACTTTCATTCCCTTTCACAGAACACATTCATCGACAGCTTCGGAAATATCCATGAGCCAAGTTGTGGTGGACTGACGGCATTGCACTTCGCGGTGGTTTTTGCTGGCGAAATTGGTGTCAAGCTAACACAAATGCTTCTTCAAAGAGGAGCAAATCCATCACTGAGAGCTTTGCCTGATGCCAGCTTTCTGGTAGGCATTGAGGTGAGGATTTGCCTCATGTTTTTTTCCACTACACGTTTTGAAGGGGGAAAAAATTACTATTTTGTTGCATATAAACAATGAGTATTTTAATTAACTGGGAACAAATGTGTGGCAGAATTGCTTAAAGAAAATTTTGGCAGCTTTATTATTTCTTTCAACTTGCAAGACGATGACTTCCTTTCGTATTCAATCGACTTAAAACTTTTGAACTTAACTTCGTCAAAATAAAACGGCCAAATTGTGCTATTTTAGGGCAACAAATACTCGTGGCCGATCTCTAAATGTGACGGTGGCAGAACCGCGCTGCATCTTGCCTGCGCTAAGACCTACGATAAAGTGGTTAGTTAGCTACGATTCTTGCTGTTGTAGAGCAGCAAACTGCCTTTTACTTAATATTAAATTATCTATTTCCTGGTTAAGCACTCTTTGATAATCGTCCAAATGTTGATGGATCACGGAGCCGACCCAAACCTTCTCTGCAATGGCCAATGCGCCCTCAGTCTGGCACTGATCTGCGGTAACGACGACGTGAGCAAATGCTTAAATATTTTGCTACTAAGGTTACTTGATTCTCTGGTTGCGGTCTTCTTGATTCAGCACCATCGACCTACCAGTTTAACCCTCATTCTCTCAACCATGTTCGGGAGCAGGCAAGATATGGGGAGGATGTCAGTTTCATCGCACATAGGCAAACTTATGTTTCTCCATTCACGACAGGTTGCGTCACTTCTGATGACCTACCCACAAACAAAGGTAGGAATGGGTTTGACACATGGACTCGGCTCTTCTCTATGCGTGGTGTTACATCCACTCTTTGAGCACGTTCGAACTTTTGACGATCGATTGGCCCTCCTCGCCAAAATGATTGCTCACTGCCCCTCAGGTCTCCTCAATCACCGCGTTATCATGCCCTGCGAAGCAGTTGAAGGTACCACGGCTATCAGAAGATGTCTTAATCTGTATTTACGCTTGCCCATCAGCACCAGCAGTTGTATGTTATCGACATTTTTGCAGGCAACATTGTGGACTACATGTATTTTACATACAAGCAAGAAGAGACCAAACTGTTAGGTGATCCTGCTAAGCGGCAGATTTTGAAGAACCGTTACCAGACGTTGAGTCATCTGGCTACAGAACTGAGGCGATCAGCATTTAAGAGTGATTTGTGGAGGCAAATTCAAGGCAAGCAATTGTTTTGGTATGAATCCGTTATTGACTTCAGGATTGACAGTATTCGTTGTTTTTTTAGTAAAATGTCTTATTAGATATAAAGGTGGACATTAAGCAGTTACCTTTTTAGACTCAAGCCGTAACCGCAGTCTCATGGAAATGTGAGTTTGTGCAGCGTGGTATGACCTAAAGAAAGAGATGTTCTTGCATAATATCTATCGTTAAATGAACATTGTAGAGAGGAGCTACGGTTTTGCTTTCATTGTGGGAGATCAGTGGCCATCAACCTCTCCTCGTGTCGAAGGTGTGGATTGGTGTTGTTCTGTTCCAATGCATGTCGAAGAGGCGCCTGGAGAGAATGGCACGCGAAACAGTGTTTGGATATTATGGGTTCGTCCATATACATTTCATCTTGGAACTGTATTATCTTGGTAAGATGGTAGAGGGTAGCAGAATTCACTGATGCCCAAACTTCTGTTGCCTGCTTCTGCATTGTTCGCACACCCTAGAGATTGAGTGGCTACTTTTATATAGCAATCCTTAGCTGAAAAATTTAGCTGCTTTAATTGCGGTCCATTCAAACAAGTGCAGCGCCAAAATAAATGGCAAATATGAGGCTCATAAGGCTTATACATTAAGGTGCATCCTCTTCTTTTTTATTTTTTTTAGTCAGGCAAAACATGGAAAAGGCGGCCATGAGAGGCAAAAGTGGGATGAATAAGGTAAGAACAAAGCGATGACTAATATGGTCTTTATAACATCATAAGCTGCAAAGCAGCATCCAATATGACTTCGCGACCTCTGGAATGTCATTTTTTGCCCATTTCTGCCAGAAGGGAAATCGCCTACCTGTATCCTGCGCTAAAAATGGGCATCCTGCTCATTCTTATGGTTTCTACAAAGATCGCATCTACATGAGTAAGGCTGCAATTGAAAGTTTACTCGAGGAGGATTTCTCTTCCCCAGGCAACTACAGCTTCATTTGAGTGGACAGCCACTGGAATCTCACACTCCTTGGCATTGCCGTAGTAGCACTAACACTTACTTACTGCGAATAAATGCTGTTACAGTCGGGTAGAATTTTCCGCAGATCGACATATTTTATTTCTTAAGTCAAATTATTCGTGGTTATCAGTTCTTTAATGTTCCACCTCTCTCTCCCTTGACCTTAAGCAGTCACTTAGGTAATTAGCCAACCAACCAATTCTTCTTAGCGTATTTGTCAATAAGAGCAAAACTATTGCTATCACCTCCGTGTACCTCCTGTACCAGCCATCACAACATTTTGCACTCCAATTGGAAGCGCCTTTGAGCCTGATACGCCAGTCCTTATCTCCTACGAGACAGTGAGATTGTACTTGGCCTTCGCAGCAGCGGCAAATAAAAGTGAAGCCACTTTTGGTTAAAAAAACACTGGTTTAAAGCAGGTGCATAACAGGGAAAAGGGGATAAAAATCAGTAATTAATGGAGGACGACTAAACAAACTGTCATCATCAGAATACTAAGTCGGGTTTAATAGGACAAATCCCCAAACGGTACATTTCCAGACGGTTCAAAACGATGTCGATGCAGTTCTTAACAGCGTGGCAATTAAAAGAGGGCGGAGCAGCGTCAAACACAGACGTCCTTTCCAACGCTTGCTGTTTAAAAGCCTTGAGAGAATCTCCCACACGAAGTGTATGTCCCCAATTTGCATCGCACAAAAACTAGGATAAAAATCAAATCGGAGTCAAGTTCGCTTTCCGCAGTGTCTTACCTCTATGTATGTTTCACATTAATAGAATTCGGCATAAAAGTGGTGACCTTGCACTACGTATTGATGACAGATAGACAGTTGAAAAGAGTTCTAATTACACTTAGGCTAACCTAATTACTCATATTGAATAATTATAACAAACACACAATACTTATATAAATGATCTATCTCCACACTTCGTTTGGCATACATAATCGCAAAATGAAGGTGTCAGAGTGGCAACTTATTTCTTCATGGTTTTCGTCATGTTACGAAATTGCTAATTCGATCAGCATAAAGATGCAACCATGGCCAACGTAGTGGAGCTCGATGTCTTTGCCAAAGCAAGAGCTTCCCGAAATCGATGTTGCCACTCTAGACGTCCTCTCGGGTTGCAGGAGTGAAGAGGAACGCCTAAATACCAGTTGAAAGCAGAAGTGGCAATGGTGTGTCCTGGACATCGCCAGGAGGGACACACATCTCCAGACTAATACAGCTCCATTTGATGAAATCACTACTAGTACGGTAGTGTTCTGAGACCTCCACCACTAGGTGGAAGAAGGTATTAATTATGGCTGAAAAGAGGCACGTTGAGGAAAAGATGGGACGAGGTAGGGCTTTGGTTTGGTCCGAATGCCAGCTTGCGCGCACAAGAGCAAGATGAACGCCAAGGTGCAAACCGGTCATACAGATGGTCACACATGCACAATATTCCTCAGCTTCACTCAAATGCCCCAACTAGCATCCAGTGCCTGTATTCACATTGCTGTACTGTCAGGGGTCCTTCGTTGCTGTGGGTGAGCCTCACAATGCCACTCGAGTAGGCGATCCAACATCGTGGAATGTGATGGTTCTTAAGTCGACGTGTGTGGCGTGTTAGGATTGGGATGCAGTGGACTTGGTGGACGCTGCACTGATGTCTTTGTAGATAGTTCGCGTGTTACACACTGCTGACGCAATCATGCAGGAAGTAGAATGGCTGGGAGGACAGTGATGGGTGAGGAGGAAGGGAATGCGAAAAGACCCAGTTTGTATCCGTAGGAGGGTCCGAATCGAATGACGCTTGGTGGTTCTTATCTGTCACGCCATGCTTTCGTATCAACTTGTGAAGAAGCATGTGGTGCTTCGCGTGTGTGAGACATTAGGGAAGTGTGTGTGTGTGTGCGTGTGCTGCTCAGTAGTAGTAGCAGCAGCAGCAACAGCAGCAGCAGCAATCATTGTCATTCCAGTGGCGCAGCGTGAATATCTCACGACAGCTCACTCTTTCCTTTCTCTTGATGAAGGGTGCAACTAAGCCTTTGGTGACACATTCAACTAAGTGCATAAAATGTCCCATTTTCTACTGCACTATCTGGTCACAGGCGAATTCAATGTGGGGTGCTACTCTCCACCCGACGTTATTTGGGCATTGTGAAGTGGCATAGTGGTGAGGAAGAAAGGAAGGAAAGTGAAGGTGAGGGAAGCGAAGAATGGGGGAGGGAGGTAGGGAGAGAGGAGGAAGAAGGAAGCTGCTGGTCAGGACCAACTCCCAAGTTGACATCATTTGTCGCTATCACTTCCACACGTTAACGATTCTATTTGCAGTAGA